CCCATTTTGCTCTGGTTATTTTGAAGATGGGATCTTGGGAAGTATTTGCCCAGCTGGGCTTGAGTCATGCTCCTGGCTGCTGGTTTCTTGGTGATGGCCTTCCTGACTCGGGGGAGATGGAGCGTCAGTGTAGTGTTGATTTGCGTGTACTTGATGGCAAAGGACACTCAACATTGTTTCATGTCTTCATTGATATTTATTCTTCTTTGAAAGTGTTCAGTTCATTTCCTCACTTACTGATTGGACTAGTTCTTTTGCTGTTTAATGTTTTGAATTTTAATATTCTGGATATTAATACTGTCAGATGATTTTCTCCTGTTTCTATTTATTTATTTGTAGTACATATTAGTTGTACATAGGAGTTTCATTGTGATATTTACATATGTGCTTACAGTGTATCTAATTAGATTCACCCTCTCCTTCATTCTCCCTCACCCCTCTTCCCCCAGTTTATTCTTTAATTAAAGGTAAGTTACTGTTGCAAAGATTAAAGAAATTTTCTCCTAATTCTTTGCAGAGGAAATAAATTCATTCCACCTTTATTAGTTTCCTATTTGAAAATGCTTATGAATGGTAGGAAGGAATTTTGCTTTGTGAGATACTTGGACTCTGAATGGTTTTGTCTTTTTTTGTTTTTGTGGCAGTACTGGGGTTTGAACTCAGGGCCTCATACTTTAACACTTGCTAGGTAGGCACTCTTGCCACTTGAGCACTCTGCCAGTCCTCTTAATGGTTTTGTTTGGAAATAACTTCTACGAACTCCTTTAGGGATGAAGGTCAGTGTATTCCGGAAGTTTCTGTACGTTAATGTAGTTGGCTTATGTTGACGCTATTCAATAATCTGGATATTTATTTATTTATTTATTTTGTGGCACTGGGGTTTGAAGTCAGGGCCTCATGCTCACTAGGTACGTGCTGTTACCACGTGAGCCATTCTGCCAGCCTGATAATCTGGATATTTATGTTCTTATACCTAAGTGTCTAAATTCTGGTGTGACATGGTTTTAATTATTTTTCTCTCTAGAAGTGAATCTTTTATTTTTTTTTCAGACAGGGTCTGGCCATGTTGCCCAGGCTGACCTTGAACTCTTGGGCCCAGTGATCCCTAGCCTCACCCTCCTGAGTAATTGAGGCTACAGGCATGTACCATTGTGTGGATTTAGAAGTGATTTCTTTTTCTTTTTTTTTTTTCCATGCTGGGGATTATTCCATCTTGCACATACTTGGCAAGCATTCTGCCACTGAGCTACAGCGTCAGCCTAGAGCAAATATTAATTCTGATTTTTCTATAAATTTGTGTTTTAAGTTTGGACTCATCATTTAATGAACTTAAAGTTTTAAATCACCTGTTGTTTATTAGTGGTTTGTTTTATTTTGGTTTGGTGCTGAGGCTTGAACCCAGGGCTTTGTGCATGTTAACACTGTACCATTGAGCAATATCCACAGTCTTGATCACTTTTTAAATTAAATTTACCTTTTAACTGAAAACATAAAATTGTACATCTTAAAGGGGTAACATGCCATGTTTTAATACACATACACCTTGTCTAATGTTTAAATGAGGCTAAGCATGTCCGGTTCCTCATTTATTTCTTTATGCTAAAAACTTTCAAAACCATTTCTTTCAGTGTTTAAAGATGTACAGTGCATTACTGTTAACTTCTTGTCACCATTCTATACCAGCGTACCAGAGCTTCTCATTCCTAACTGTGATGTAGGGCCCTGGGTCCTCCTCCACCATCCGTCCTTTCCTCCTCACCTAGTTTATGTCCAGACACTGAGACACATAGGCAAGTGAAATGTTCGGTAGACCTTTGGTTTCCACAGATCCATGGCTCCAAGGAGACTGTGGGGAGGAGAACCTGCGCATGCTCAGGATGCAGGGACTTCAGTGCTGTACTGTGGTGCTAGACCCATTTCCCCGTAACACTGCCCAACTTCCAGTAAAGACCGGGTGCCTTTAAACAAAGCTCCCATTTTCACTGGGTCACTTCCATTAAGCACATTAGCTTTTACCTTGCTGTTTGGGCACCATTTGCTTTTGGGAGGAGTACTGTATTCTCACAAAATGAAGGGCAAGGAAGCACTCAGCTGATCTCACAGGATTTCAACACAACTAAGGCTAACGTGGGACTGACAGAGAGCTTCTCCACCCACGAGCTGCGGTGTGTGTGCCAGGGTGCTTCAAATGGTTGCTTTTGAAGTTTCTTTTGATACTTATTTATTTATGACCAGGCTTGGTCAGAATGTGTAATGAATGCACACATGCGGCAAGCTTACTGTGTCCATCCCTGAGAGATGTCAGCTTGGTTGGGAAGGTGGATGTACACAGGCCACTGCAGTTAAGGCGGCTCACAAAAGCCAAAGCTGTCACTTCTTCTGGGGGGAGGGCTTCAGGAGAGACCTGGAGGAGTGGCAGAGGAAGTCTTCCTTGAGCGGACTCTCAGAAGCAGAGGGTGAAGTGGCTACAGCTGTGTCTCCTGTGGAAATGTCAGGCAGATGAAGTTGAAGGACTCTGGGAAGTGAACAGGACCTGGTTGGTGGTGGGCTGTCACTCCAAGGATCCGGACCCTGACCTAGGGGTTGCTTGGGGCTCTGGAAGGTGGAAGCAGCATTTTGATGAGATTTGTGCTTGGCAAGGCCACTGACATCTGCCTGGAGGACGGGGCATGTGACAATGGCAGGCAGTCACAAGATGGTCACAGAGGACATAGGGGCAACAGGCAGAGGGAAGAGATGGTAAAGAAATAGTCCTCAGCCCTTGATGACAGCTTGGTGTGGGAAGGAAGACTGAAGAAGGCTGGCAGGTCCCTGCAGTCATGGAGTGAGGTGGGGAACGCAGCGGGGCAGGTGGCCAGGACAGCACATGAGTACCATTTTGGACGTGTGCAGCACGAGGGTACAGAGACACTCAGGGCAACTGCATAGCAAGCTCTGCGGAGTGTAGAGGGCACTGGTCTTGAAATGACAGCAGGATTGCTGATGGGATCTGTGAGCAGAAGTGTGAGAGCTGAGTGCAGATAATCATGCGTTCTGACTGCTCACTCATGAGCTAAGATGCCAGCTGCTGAAGACAGAGAGACCCAGCTGAGCAAACCCAAAGGCAGCTAGTACAGGAGAATAAAATTTAGAAGGTGGCATAGACTTTGTAAAGATTGTTTTTTTGTAGCCGGGCAACAGTGGCTTATGCCTGTAATCCTAGCTACTCAGGAGGCAGAGATCAGGAGGATCATGGTTCGAAGCCAGCCCAGCAAATAGTTCATGAAACCCTATCTGAAAAAACCAACACAAAAAAGGGCTGGTGGAGTGGTTCAAGTGGTAGAGCACCTGCGTAGCAAGTGTGAGGCACTGAATTCAAATTCCAGTGCTACCAAAAAACAAAAAGAAAAAAAGGATTGTTTTTGGCTAATGTTGCTATAGTGTGTTCATACTTATGTGCTCATTGTGTACTGGTTATATTTCTAGGGACTGAGGCAATAGCACTGAGCAAGATAGGCAGAAAGTCTGCTCGTGGAGCTCCCGAATGACAGTGACAGACAGTAAGCAAATAGAAAACTAGGTGGACTCTTTTTGAGTGTGCAGGGTTGCTGGGGACAAGCATAGGCCCTTGGGCGGGCCAAGTACATACTGGTACCCAGGCCTCTGCAGCCAGCGCCATGGAGCAGGCCCTCTGACCACCCTGATCCAAGACTCTCAGTACCTTGCTTAGAGTCAGTTAAGAGCACAACCAGGACTGGGCTGCAGCTCAGTGGTAGAGCATCAAGGGTGGTCAGAGGGCCTGCTCTGTGGAGCTGGCTAGCAGGGGCCTGGGTTATAAGAGGAGCAAGTATGAAGAAATTTTGGAAAAGCATCCCAGACCTTCAGATAGGTCTTGTTCAGAAATTGTAGACAATAAAATCCCTAGGAATAAACAAAAGAAGCCTTGAGAAAAAAATGTGGAAATGAAAAAAAAAAAAAAAAAAAAAAAAGAAAAACCTAAGTCTCGGGAAAGGCATCCCAAGTTCACGGGCTGGAAGACAACAGTGGTCCCCAGGTTGAGCATATCCCTCTCATCATTCCAGACTTCCTCACAGAAATTAACATCCAGGCCTGTGTGGTGACACCCATCGAGGAAGGGGGGAAGTGGGTGGCGCAGTCAGGTCCTCAGTGAGGCATAAGGGCAGTTATCCAGGGCGTCATCCTATCTGTGGTGGGGCGCTCGGGGGATTAAGCAGGGGACTGATAAAATGCACTTGGTTATTGAGTGCCTGCTCTGCCGATGTTGGCGCTGAACAAGATGGAGTGTGGAGTAAGCAGCATGAAGCTTTTTGGTGTAGGACATGAGAGCATCCTTGCATGACCTCTCTACGTGTTATGTGTGTTTGTCATTTTATTGACCATTTAAACTTTTTTTTTGTGGTATTGGAGTTTGAACTCAAGGCCTTGAGCTTGTTAGGCAGGTATTCTACCACTTGAGCCACACCCCAGCCCTTTTTGCTGTAGATATTTTTCATATAGTCTTGTGTTTTTGCTCAGGCTGGCCTCAGACCAAAATCTTCTGCCTTCTGAGTAGCTGGGATTATAGGTGTGCATCACCATGCCTGGCCTGGAACATTTTCTTAATATGGAAGTAGCAATATTCGTTATAAAGTACTTAGAAGATTCAAAGTGAAAGTGAGAATTTAGGTCTTTCAAGATCCAACCACTTTGAGATAATGACAGTTAATAAATGTTAATAAAAGTGTTTTTTGCTTTTTTTTTTTTTTTTAAAGACAGTCTCACTATCTAGTACAGGCTGGCCTCAAACTTGCTATCCTCCTCCACCTCCTGAGTGCTGAGATTATAGGCATGTGTTGCCACTCCCAGTTTCTTTCCAGTCTTTTGAATTTATTGATCAGACATTTCTCAGATTCATTGAGTGTCTCCCTTAATCCCCCAACATTAGCACGAGAAACAGAAGTGAGGGTCTTCGCTCTTCTTTTGGGGAATCAACCACAAACCTTCTGATTGCTTTCTTTCAGGTGTAGCTGATGAGAATAATGGTGAGCATCAACCCCCTGGAGAACTGGAGGCTGTACGTCAGCAGCCGGCCCCCGCTGGTGGTCTTCATGATCAGCGTGAGCGCCATGGCCATCGCCTTCCTGACCCTGGGCTACTTCTTCAAGATCAAGGAGATTAAGTCACCGGAAATGACAGAGGTACAGCTTCATCTGGAAGCCTGCCTCTCCTCACAGTGGCTGACTGTGACGTGGGTGACACTGCCAGGTTCAGTGGGACAGCTTCAGTGGGGAGCTGCTGCATTTGGCGTGTGTTCATAGAGCAGCTGTGTCCAGAAGCCAGGGAAACACTTCTCTGCTGTTCATCATGAGTTGCTCATTGCTACTTTCTAAAACAGTGAGCACTGATATTTCTTCTCAGCCGTTGACTTTCAGTGCTGTGGCTGGAGCCCAGGCCTCGATATGATAGGCAAGGGCTCTACCAGGGAGCTGTGTCCCAAGTCACCCACTTGTCATCTGAATTTTATCAGCTGTACTGATGGCTTTTTATTGGATAAGAAGGAATACTAAGGAAATTCGAAAGCTGGATCTTGCTTCCAAATACATTTCTCTCTCTCTCTTTTTCACTTCTGAGTTTGAACTTAGGGCCTCACACATGCTAGGCTGGTGCTCTCCCACTTACACCACACCCTCAGCCCTTCTTTTGCTTTTAGTTACTTAGTTACTTTTTGAATACATTTTTGTGTTTTTGCCCAAGGCCAGCTTTGGATGGTAGTCTTCCTATCTATGCCTCCTATATAACTGGGGTGATAGGTGCATGACACCGCATCCAGCTTTTTTGTTGAGATGGGGTCTCCCTAACTTTGCCCAAGCTGGCCTTGAACTGTGATCCTCCATATCTGTGCTTCCTGAATAGTAGGATTACAGAAGTCACTACACCTAGTCTTTTATTTCTTTTTTAATCCAGGAAAACTTCAGTTATTTATAAACTTGCCTTTTTAGATTTTACATTTTGGACAATTTAAGTTATTGGGGCACATATTTAATCCTTAATCCAGGTACATGATAGTTAAACACTATTGCAGAGTTTCAGAGTCGTGTATTTTACATATTAAAAAACAGTAACAAACTTAGTAGTTCTTACTTAATAGAAATGAGCAGTAGTATAGTTACTCATAAATATCTGTATGAGAAATCATGCTGAATGAATGATGTAGTGAGTTTACTGGTACTTAACTTTTAAAAAATTTTTTGGTGAGACTGGGGTTTGAACTCGGCTTCACACTCGCAAAGCAAGTGTTCTACCGCTTGAGCCACACATCCATTCCATTTTGCTCTAGTTATTTTGGAGATTGGGGTTGGGGTCTCACAGACTGTCTGCTTGGGCCAGACAGTCTTCCCAATTTCAGCCTCCCAAGTAGCTAGGATTACAGGTGTGAGCCACTGCGCCCGGCTGATAAAGTTTCTTTTAGGACAGGTCATTTCCCATTGCAGTAGACTCTGGATGCTTTCTCTTCTTGGGTTTGTTCACTGGTAGGGTGAGGTGGGGGCAGCTAGATTGTGCTGCTGCTGTGTTGTGTGAAGGGTCTTGTGACAAGAGGTGAGTTCTCCTCTGGCATTAGGATCATGGCTTTCTAGATCATAGGTGATCTTGACAGGACAAACTGTCTTCACACAAGCACGCTGTCTGACAGCTTTAGCTTATTTCTACCATGAAATCCAAAGAGTTTCTTTCTAAGAGACATCCTGGCTGGCTTAATTCTTCCTCTTTTCTGACTCTGAATCCTTAAAAGGTGCTAAGACAGGCCTCATCCAGGGAGAGCTCAAAAATGAACATTGCATCCCAGCTGGAGCTGACTTTCTTTGTTGCAGCTGGAGTCCTTAAGATGCAGCCTGGATTAGTAGCGGTTGGCAGTCATCCTGGGTCTGACTCTGGCTGTTCACTGTGGGCCAACTGTAGCAAAGCAGTGCCAAGACGCTGGAAGATTTTGGGTGTGATGAACTTGGTGGTTTTGTTTTTCAGTGGTTGACCTGGTGACTTCCTAGGTTGTAGGAAGGCAGTGGTGCTTGGGAAGTTGGGGGTTGTGAGTAGAGCTTCAGGCAGACTCTATCTGCAGTGGGATTGAAGGGCCCTGAACTCACCTGCACCTCGGTTTCTTTGTGTGTGCAGTAGAAAGGGATGAGGCTAGGATGGTCTGTGGAGTCCACGCTAGGGAAGATGTAATTCATCCGTCCACTGCGGCCATGCCGAGTGTCACTTACAGTTGTGCTGCTATGAAGATGGAGCCCTTGACTATAAGTTAATACTGCCAGAAACGTAGCATGCTGTGTCTTCACTTTTGACAGCCTTCTCTAACTGACATCTGGGGAAGTCTGCCTAGGTTGGGTTCATCTCTGTTCCCATGTGAGCTCACCTTTGGGTTTCTGCCAGACTCAGAACAGACCCTGGCGGGCCCTTTACTATGTTAGTGTCTGTTCAGCCATGACAATTAAAAGTAGCCTACAATTAAAGCCATCCGTCCAGATAGTGATATTACAGAAGTCTGGGGTGGCTGAGTGGTGGAGAATTTGCCTAGCATATGCCAGGCCCTTGGCTCCATCCCCAGCCCCTCAAGTAAATAAGTAAAGAAGTAAATCAGTAAATAGGTTGAAGCCATCTCATGCCTTCCTTTGACATTGTTCCTGCTCCACAGTGGTGTGCAAACCTGTGACACAGAGAGGCAAATACCAAGTGAGCATGGGATTGTCATTTTAGGGGGACAAAGTCAAATACAGAGTGGAATGTCTTTAAGGCAGCCTTACTTTTAAAAAGTTAACGCTCATGACTACTGTGTGCATCCAGGTTGAAGATTCTTGTGTGTTACGACTTTTGTTCAAGCTTTCTTTTCCTGTGGTTCTGTCTGATGTGACAGGCTGGATTTGAAAGGCGTTTACTGATTAAGTTGCTGTCACGGTGTGTTTAGCATCTCAGGCTGAGGTGAGGCTTATCGTGTGCAAGTGACGAGGAAAGTCGTGCTGTTCTGGCAGCGCTAGGAGGATGCTGCATTGTCACTGGAGTTTGAAGTAGCTGGGTCTGAATGATGGCTTTCCTGTTGTCATTGGTGCCCCACCAGGCTGTGACTGTCAGCACAGTGGGAGATTCCTGCATGCTCACTTTTATTCCCTTTATTTCCCTTCCCTGAAGGACTGGAATACTTTTCTGCTGCGGTTTAATGATTTGGACTTTTGTGTATCGGAAAATGAAACTTTGAAGCATCTCTCAAATGACAGCACGGCTCCAGAGAGCACAGTTACCAGCGGGCAGGCCAGAGTGTCCACCCAGACCCCCCAGGCCCTGGAGGACCCGGGCCCTGTGAATATCTCGGTTGCAATCACCCTCACCCTGGACCCACTCAAGCCCTTCGGCGGGTACTCTCGCAACGTCACGCACCTATACTCCACCATTCTGGGGCATCAGATCGGACTTTCAGGTGCGTGTGTGCGTGCCAGCCCTGTTCCTTTTGGATTGCAGCCTCAGCCATGTGTGGGTTACTATCCTGTCTGCATGTCTCTCTCCTGTTGCTGTGCTTTAACCCCATGAGGCCGGCAAGGAACCATTTCCATCCCTGCCCTTCACTTGGTTGAGTGCTCAGCATGTAGTAACTTTTGGAAGAATGAGAACTGATGGGGGCTGGGTGTGGCTCAGTAGTGAGCCCCTGCCTCGTGGTTGTTGAGGCTGTGGTCCATCCCAACATCACAAAAAAAGGATAAAGGCCTATTTCTGCCTTGATAAAGCTGACCCTAGACCAGCACAGGTTTGGACCACATGGATCTACTTAGGCTTGAATCTTTCTTTTTTTGGTGGGACTGAGGTTTGAACTCAGGGCTTTGCACTTGCAAGGTTGTACTGCTTGAGCCACACCTCCAGTCCATTTTGCTCTGGTTATTTGGGAGGTGGGTGTCTGTAGAACTATTTGCCCAGGCTGGCCTTGAATGGAGGTCTTCCCTATCTCACTCAGCTTCCCAAGTAGCTAGGATTGCAGGTGTGAGCCACTGGCTTGTGGCCTTGGTGTTTTTTTTTTGTTTTGTTTGTTTTTTTGTGACATTGAAAATACAGATAAGCTACATAGTCTTAATATATCAAAAAATACATATTTACATATATATGCTTAGTTTTATATATAAACTTAAGTATGTCATAAAGCATGTGCATAAAGTATGCATAGACAGTAGTTCATAAATCATTTACTACTATAGCACAAGCAGGTCTATAAGAAGTTAAAACTTAAGGGTAAGCCTCCTGGTGCACCTGTGTAATTCCAGCTACTCAGGAGGCAGAGATCAAAGCAATGATGGTTTGAGGCCAGCCAAAATAAGTTAGTGAGACCCCTATCTCAACAAATAAACTGAGTGTGGGGTGCATGTCTATAATCTTAGGTATGTGGGAGGCCTACTAGAAGGATCATAGTTCAAGGCTGGCAAAAACATGACACCCTATGCAAAAAATAATTAAAGCAAAAAGAGGCTTAGAATGTGGTTCTAGTGGTAGAGCGCCTACCCAGCACAGGCAGGGCCTAAGTTCAAACCCAGTACTGCCAAAAGAAAAAATTGAGACTTAAATACGTATTAAGCGCATCCTGTTCATGGCACTATTGGCGATTGAGAGAACGTGAACACTTGCACAGGTGTGGTATTGAAGCCTCACGGTGATGCATGTTGTAGGACTGCAGTAACCTGTGGCCATTATGGTGAGTGGGGTGTTGAGAGTACAGTGCCCAGCTGAGTGGCCACACCTGTCATCCCAGTGTGTGGGACGCAGGAAGGAGGTTTACAGGTGGAGGCCAACCCAGGCAACACAGTGATACCTTGTCTCAAAAACCCTAAAAAGTAAAACAAGTATGATGGCAGTCACAGCTGTGTGAGCTGTTGGTCTGCCAGTAAAGAGCTTGCTGGGTAAAAGCTGGTGGTTGGTTCTGCTGCATTTTTCCCACATAAGGAACATAGGTTATTTGGCTGTTTGTGTCATCTGTGAGCTTCCTGTCAATAGCCAGCTGTTAGTAATTAAGATTTTGGGGAGTCAGAAGTCATCCTTGGAGTTTCAATTCGTTTCAGTTCGGGGTTGGCACCCATTTGCTTAAGGGTCAACTGCTTTTACAAATACATAATTTTTTAGTTAGGTTAATCCTGTTGGAATTTTCAGTACTTCCTACAGATATATTGGCTTTAATGTACCCTCCCCCCGCCACCAGTTCTGAGTGGTGAATCTTGTGCATGACAGGCTGTAGTCTGGCTTGCCTGTGTAGGGTTGGAAAGCCCACCAGTAGCTCAGTGCCCTGCTCACTGCCAGGAGGAAATAGAAAAAGCCAAGATTATAAATGTGAATGTTTATCACACACTTAAAATAGTTCCTGGCACAAAGGAAGTTTTGTAAGTGCTTATAAGTAAAGTGAGAAACAAACATGGATAAAACACGCACCAGTGTTGAGCCTACGGCAGACCACAGAGGTCTTCTAGCAGTGGAAGCTGGGGTGTTCAGGAAGGCCTTGTGCAGCCGCCTTGGCCTGGAAGAGCAGTCTTTGCAAACGTCCTCACAAAAGTCTGGCACCTGCCTGTCTTCTATTGGTGATTAGAGAGAACCGGCGTCCCGTGGTAATGAAGACACAGGTGACCTCTGACTTTTGGGGTGGCCTTAAAACATCCTGGTTTAGTTTATGCTCTATCACAGCCTGTGGCCTTTCCTAAATCTGTCAACTCTCTGGTCCTCATTTCCTACAGATGAAAAAGGGGAACAGTGACCCTCTTTGGTCACATTTGTTGAATGGTGGTAAAATTAAGTAAGGTAAAGTATACAAAAGCAGATGCCAGATGCCGCACAATTTTAGAACAGTAGTGATGGTCACCCGGCCTGACCTTTCCAGCCTTCTGCTGCCTGGGCTGATTCTGGGCTTTTCCAGTGCTGGCCTCTATTGAAGGACCCCTTGCTGTTTGCCATTTTGTGGTTGAGTAGGGCTCATACCGGGACCAGGACTGTTGCAGAAATCTCACAAAGGCTGGTGTCCAGGCTGACTGGTGACTACTGTGTGGGTTTACTTCAGGATTCACCTGAATACCTGAGAATAATATATGAGTGCTTGCATTCAGTCATTCGATCATTTATGTATGTGGCACTGGGATTTGAACTTGGGGCTTCATGCTTGCTAGGTTGACACCCTACCACTTGAGCCACTACACCAGCCCATTTTAGTGATGGGTATTTCTGAGATAGGGTCTTGCAAACTGTTTGCTCAGGGCTGGCTTTGAACTCCAATCCTCCTGATCTCTGCCTCCTTGAGTAGCTGGGATTATAGTGAGCACCGATGCCTGGTTAAGTTCTTGCATTTATTGACCAAAAACCAATTTTTCTTTCCTAGGCAGGGAAGCTCACGAGGAGATAAATATTACCTTTACCTTACCTGCTGCATGGAGCTCGGACGACTGTGCTCTTCATGGCCATTGTGAGCAGGTGGTGTTCACAACCTGCATGACCCTCACGGCCACCTCTGATGTCTTCCCTGTCACCGTGTAAGTGCTCCCTGCTCCCCGTGGCTGTGACCTGCATCTTCTGTGGCTTATGTCCTGTTACTTTGTAGGAGCTTCACTGTGTAGACATAACTATGAGATTATTTAATGTGAGGTTCTGAGAGTCCCTTCCACATGTGACTCTCAGAAGGTGAGATTCAACTCCAGCATGTTGGTAAAACATCAGGGCGTGTTGAATGGTCTCAGGCGGCCTTTCCTACCAGAGTAGAAGAAAAATGTCACAGAAAAAAAGAGCATTGCTGATCCTTCAAGCACAGCTCACCTCAACTATCTGGAAAGGGTCAGTTTATAAATCAAGAGTACAAACTGAGCCGTATTTTATGTCATTTACCATTTCTGAAACTTGTTTCAGTTTTTCTCAGAGGCACTTGATACTTTACCTTTGAGGGTGGTTTTGGTTTTGTTTGTTTGTTTGGTTTTTGAGACAGGGTCTCACTAGCTGTCCAGGCTGGCCTTGAACTTCTGGGTTCAAGGATCTCCTGCCCCAGCTCCCTAAGAAGCTGAGTGTGTGGATACATACCACTGTACCCACTAAGGGTGTTGTGTTGTGTTGTATTTTCACCTTTCCTTTCTCTGAGAAAGAGATAGTGATCTATAAATAAATATGTAGAATATACAAGTAGCAGCCCATTTAAAAGAAATCTGTGGTGAATCTTTTGAAAATGAGAACCATCCTAGGATTTGTCTGGTTTAGATACTTGTAGCTTTGTAAGACAAGATTAGATGAGTTAAACATTATTTGATGTCATAATCCTGATTGAAAAACTTCCAGTTGAAATTAAGATAATTTGAGAAAACTGTCTTAAAAGAAGCAGGGTCCTCCTTGACCACAACATATGTGAGAGGCACGTGGGTGAAATTCTGAAGGAAATGGCCAGGACCCAGACTCCCTAAATGTCACATGTTTGTGTCCTTCTGTTATGTGCTTATTTAAAAAAAGAAAAAGGAAAAAAAATTTTGGGCTAAAAATATAATTATATGTATCCAAAGAAATGTTGGTATAGTCAGAAATGTTTTCTTTCTCCTCTCCATGTTTGTTGGTCTGTTCAGTACTGTGCTGGGTGCTGGGGAGGAGACCCAAGTAAATGTCCCAGGTCACTAAGCTCCTGCCTCTCCTCTCTCCCTCACAGCCAGCCCCCGCACTGCTCTCCTGACACGTACAGCAATGCTACCCTGTGGTACAAGATCTTCACGACTGTCCGTGATGCCAACACAAAATATGCCCAAGATTACAACCCCTTCTGGTGTTACAAGGGAGCCATTGGGAAAGTCTATCATGCTTTAAATCCCAAGCTCACAGTGATTGTTCCAGACGTACGTGAGAATACTTCCTCCACATGTGTGTGTGCATGTGCGTGTGCGTGTGCGTGTGCGTGTGTGTGTGTGTGTGTGTGTGTGTGTGTGTGTGTGTACTTGTGAGAGCATCCTGGAACTGTGGGTATAGGCTGTGTTACTTCTTGGGTTAGCTTAGCCTCTGCCCACTGCACATTCCAGGTGGGTTGGGAGACCGGGCAGAGTGGTGGAGACTTGGAAACACATGCTACCCTTTTGGCCAAGAAAAATGTTGTTCTTGGCTGAGCACTGATGGCTCACGCCTGTAATCTTAGCTACTCAGGAGGCAGAGATCAGGAGGATTGCAGTTTGAAGCCAACCTGGGCAAATAGTTCTCAAGACCCTATCTCGAAAAAAACCCATCACAAAAAAAGGGCTGGTGGAGTGGCTCAAGGTATAGGCTCTGTGTTCAAACTCCAGTACTGCCAAAAAAGAAAAGAAAATGGTCTTCATTTTCTGTTTTGTTCAACACAGTTACTGATTTGAGCAGTTGCTGTGTTCTTAACCCATAGGATCTCAAGAGATGCTCTCATGGTCTCAGTTATGTATCTGACTATTCACAGAAGGAAATTTGGTTAGTGTCAATACGAGCAATATTTGGAGTTCAGAAAGATAGAAGTAAGTAGTAGGAGGTGAATGGCTGGAGACCAAGGCTTGAATAGGATTTAACTTAGCAGAGAAGAAAGGGGAGGAAAACACTGTTGCCTAGTCCAGCAGGCGATCCGTTAGGACCTGAGCCCACTGTGCTGATGCTTTTTTAAGTGCCCTTACTTTTATCCTGCATGTTATAGGTGCAGCTCTCTTCTCTTGGCTGGCCCTTTTCATTGTCTGTGGTTCAGGTTTGGAAGTTGGCAGGCCAGCATCCTGCAGGAGGGTGCAGTGGAGGCCAGGCTGAACAGTGGCAGAGGCCAGGTCCAGAAGGCCCTTCACTCCTCACTGAGGGCTTAGCCTCTCTCCCCAGGCAGGGTGCCACTTCCTGGGTTGGGCTTTAGGGTTTTTGCAGAGCAGCACCTAAGATAACAACTGCCACCTGATGCTGCCTGAGTCATGAGCACTGGTGACAGGAGAAGGAAAAGAAAAGGAAGCAAGTTTGGGTCTCCTGCAGCTATAGGGCCTGGTGACTGATGGTGTGTGGAAGATGAGGCACTTAACAAAAGTGGGGAACTGGAGAAGGCAACGGGAGAGGTGATGGGCTGTAGTCTTTCTGTGGGGATGAAGAAGTTAGGAACATAGGCTCAGCCTGAAGGCAGTCAGAGGAAGAGCATGTCTAGAGAAGAGTGGGGTTAAGATGAGCCTCTGCGGCCTTCTCTAGGGTGGATACTCGGCCAGAGCCAGAGCAGAGTAAGGAGTGGGTTTTCCCTACTGCAGCCGCTCAGAAACCCCATGTCCTCAGTACACGAGAGCCGTGACAGGAGAGGCCTCCTGTTTGGGTTTAACAGTGGAAGCCTGGAGGCTGGCAGTCTCGCCTCCAGAAACCCAGCATTAAAGTCATGCAGTCAATGCAGATGTCTGATTTTCCTCTTGTTTTTAGGATGACCGCTCATTAATCAATCTGCATCTCATGCACACCAGTTACTTCCTCTTCGTGATGGTGATAACGATGTTTTGCTATGCTGTCATCAAAGGCAGACCCAGCAAGTTGCGTCAGAGCAATCCTGAATTTTGTCCTGAGAAGGTGAGCAGGGGTCTGGCTGGTGTCCTGCTGCGGGTTTCCATCTGCAGAGATCCCCAGTTAGGCCTTATCCCCCACTGTGAGTGTCACCTGTCCTTTTCATTCCAAGTAGTCTTTACTGTTGGCTTTGAGTATGATGTTGGGTTTTCACCTGCGTTCCTGTGCCCCTTTAGCTGCTAGGAGGACCTGACTGCAGTCATTCTGAGACCTCATTGGAGAGCTACTGGCTGGATGGGTGACCTGAGAAACCAGGGGACAGATTGCTGGCCAGGGTTCATGGCAGTCAGCTCCCTCAGTGCAGGGCTTCTGCAACTCAGCTGCACCCTAGAGAAGACTTGCAGACTGTGTTATTGCTTCCCAGTGAGATGTTTGCTAGGGACTTAGCAGCTCTCTGCCTGGCTGATGCCTGTAGTGCAGCTGTCGGGCCCTTTCAGGTAACAGTGGGGCTGCCATCCCTGGATTTCCTGCCTGTGATATGCATTGCCTGTCATGCTCTCTCCTAGGTGGCTTTGGCTGAAGCCTAATCCCACAGCTCCCGGTTTTCTGAGAGAGACTGAGATAACCATAATCATTGCCTGCTGAACCCAGCCAGGGCCTGGCCACTCAGAATACATGATCTTGCAGTGTTGGGTTATTCCAGCCAAAGACATTTCAAGTGCCTGTAACTGATTTGTACATATTTATAAAAATCCATTTGGAAACTTGTCCAATGATGCACGTGCTTTGCACCTGGTACAGCCAGAGCGCTTCAGCCTCATCTGGACCTGTGAACTTGATACTTCCACACACGCTGGAGAAGTTCCTGGGTCCTGCTGCAGCAGAGCAGGTCGTGGTGATCACAGGGTCACGGGGCGTGTCATTGCTGCTGGGGTGAGGTTGCTTCGGCTCTTGTTTCAGCCAATGCCTACAGAATGTGTTCAGCAGTCTGCACCTTTGATATGATACGCATTTCAAAAGCCACCAATGCATTTGTGGATCTTATGTGTCTGTGGCTTAATCATCATAGTGACAGTGGTAATACCCTTTTCCTCACTTTGCTTGCAAGAACACATGCCTTTCTTAAGTTTATTTTTTTCTTTTTCTGTTTTTAAGAAAAAATAAATAAAATAGTCACATTTTAATACTCCTCTAGTTAGGAAAGGTGTGTGCTTTTATCCTGAGTGAAAAGTTAAATATTTACAAGTCACCTACATGGTAAAGATCTAGGTTTCATTTTCCATATGGATGGTGAGGAGCGTGGTCTTGTGGGAACTAGGCAGAATGCTCTGCTGTCTCTTTTCCCTCCCTGCTCCAGGTAATGCAGGTGGCATAGTAGAGTGTCTCTTTTCTGTTTGGAAAAAGAAATGAATTTCGTTTAAAGTAGCATTTATTTTTATGCCCCTAACTTGTTTGCAGAAGAAAAAATGGCATCCCTGACATTATAGAAGGAAAAAGAATGCCTGTGAAGTTTGAAGGAATGTGATTCTGATTGGCTATGTGTCAGGGAAAATCAAAAGCGTGATCATCTAGTTCCTCGGTCCCCTTTGCCCTCTCATCCTCATCGTGAGAACATTGTGCACTGTCTTTGCTGGTCTGTTCTGTCACTTGAGTTCTTACTGCTTTTCTTAACAGCTCTTTGCCTTAATAACTTACTGTCAGTAGTGACTTCTGTGTTCTCCTAGGCAGTGTTACAGCAGAAGGGCAAGGGAACTTTGCACGTGACTGTCAGCACCTCTTTGCTTAATTCTAGGTCTGTGGTCTGTTCCAAGTTACAGTTACTTCCCACGGTCGGAAATTTTCTAGCCCAGAACACCTTATCCCAGGCATTCTTGAATGGAAGCAGTTGTGTGCTTTTATTGAAAATTGTTAAAATAATCACAACAGCTGCTTGGTATGTTAGTATTCCTGGTTTTTGGGTTTTTTTCCTTTTCTTTCAAGCACAGTAATCATACTGTCCAATCCAGGCTTTTGTTCGTGTGTTGTCTTTGTGTGATAGGAGTTGCTTACATGATGCATGCCTAGCGTGTTAGTTCTTGCTTTTCTCTTTCGAGACCCTTATGGGACACATTCAGAAGGAGCCATATTTCTTGGCCTTTAAAATGTCAATATCATTAGGACCATTAGATTTTAGATTAAGTTGCTATCGAATTAATAAAATCCCAATGAAGGCCTGCTGTCACGGCACACACCTTAATCCCAGCCACTCAGGAGGCTCTTCCCTTAATTTGAGGAGATTGGGAGGATCATATTTTAAGGCCAGCCCAGGCAAAAAGTTAAGGGGATCCCCAACTCAAACAGTAAGAAGGGCATGGTGGCACACATCATCCCTGCTGTGTGGGAGACATAGGTAGCAAATCTCAGTCCCAGATAAGCCCCCGCAAAAAGCACGAGACCCTATCTGAAAAAGAATCTAAAGCAAAAAGGGCTGAGTATGTGGCTCAAGTGATAGAGTGCCTCCCTCACAAGCACAAGGCCCAGAGTTCAAAACTCCAGCACTCCTCCCCCACCCCCACAAAATTCCAATGAGGTGGAGTTCTAGGGATAGATTTGTAACTGTTAGAGTAATATAAAAGGAAAAAGATGAGTGCATAAATCAGTTTCACTGATTTCTCCAATGCAGCTCATTTCTGTTCATTGCCTTGTTTTAATTACTGGAGTCTGTAACTGGGGGGTGGGGGAGGGGAACTGTTAGGTGTGAAGAAAAGAAGTGCCAAATTGCCTGGACAATACTACGACTTGTCCTGTGGTCAGATACACTTTAAAATTCACCATTCACTGGTCTTAAGTTCTCATGGTCTTAAAGAAACACAGAATCAGTTAGGTTATGTGATGGAGAGTTGGGAAGAGAGGAGGTTCCGGGGCCCAGGGTTGGGGGAGCTCTGGGGAGCCTGCTTGTGTTTGAGCAGGTGCACCCGAGGCCTCCTCAGCTGCTTTGCTGGTGGACCTCAGGACTGGGGAGTTATGACAGGGCCTTTTGCTTTTGGGGCTGACGTGACACAGCAGCGCTGGCTGATCCTCAGGCGGCTTGGACTGGAGGTCCAATAAAAGGTCAGCAACTTACTATGAAAATGGGTTGTTTCAGATCATATTGATCTCTTTCCTTTTTCTTTTTGTCCTTCCACTGTATGACTTGAATCAGTTTTGATTCTATTGTACGTTTTCTCATCATTAGGAGCCTGACGTTTCTGTTGCGTTTCTTGGCGGTTTGTAAGATTGAGCTCCCGGTTTTCCAGCCCTCAAGTACCTGCTGGCACTGTGGGTTTATGAGGGTGTGGATCCATTTCATTCTCTTGCTGCATGGTCTGTTATGGTATCACTTCCCCATTAACTTTCTCTGTTCGAAGTATGTGCATATGTGCTTTACAAATAAAACATTTGACTTTGCTTTGTCTCCTTTCCTGCAGTCTGGCGGGTGTTCTCTAAGGGAGGAGTGTAAGCAGAAGTAGGTGAGGATCTGTGCTATAAGCACTTGTCAAGGTAAGGAGTGAAGATGGCCTCCCCAATCCCACAGCTTTCCTTGCTGAGAGCAGAAAGCCTCTTGTAGCTTCTGATACCAGCAAGTGTTCACAGACCGGTCCCAAACACTACCTGAAGACTTATTAATACCTTGCTGTGGCTGAGGGACAATGCTTGCCAAACATGTACAAGGCCTGAGTTCCATCCCCAGCATGGCAAAAAACAACAACAACAAAAAAAACCCCTATTCCTGGTTATATAAGTCTTCACACACACTGAGTTTGTTAGCAGCAGCCTCCTAGCCTGCTCCCCATGTGCATATGCCAGACTTCATTTGTGAATCACTGAGTGGGACAGGTTGACATGCATCATGACAGGTGGAGGATTAGATGGGCCACTCAGGTTGCTGGACATGGGATTATTGCTGTTAGTTTCCTAACAACAAAGTATACTTTTCCCTCATTTACCTGCATTCCTGCAAAATATAATGTATGTTACAAGTATGCAAGAAATACTTTGTGCAAAATAGAGCTAGGTTTAGGTTCAAATGATGCTAATCATTTTGTATGTCTACAGTGAGGGACTGGAAGCCATGTTGAATATGTGCAACTCATTGCATTGTTGATGTTTATATTCTGGGAGCAGGCTACCATCCTGATGGCAAGTACCCCCTCCCCCAATTTCCAATTTGTCCCACCCTGTAGAAAAGCAAGGCTCCGGCATTCTGCCCAAGACAGAGAGGTTCCCGATTGCCTCAGCTTTTGACTTTCAGCTGACCCTGCACCCTTGGAACTGCTGTCATCCCTGGACCAGGACCTCAGCCTGTGATTGATAACCTGGTCTGTGTCACTAGTCCACACCTCGAGATTATGCTGTGATGTAAGGAGGTTTTGCCTCCTCTAGGAGGAAAGGGGGATGATCCTAGGAGGACTGCCTGCCCCCAAATCTCTAGAACTCAAGGAAGCAAGGAAGCCCAGGCTGCACCCAGGCAGGTGTTGGTGCTAGGAGACAAGTGTACTTCTTATACCATTCCTTCTTCTCTACCTTGCCCTCAAGCAATGTATGGATTGCCACTGGAGCTAAAAGAGGGAGTAGCCAATCTTACCTAGGTATGAAAATGATAGCCTTCATCTGTGTCATAAGAAATTCTGCTTATAGCTGGGTGCTGTGGCTCACGCCTGTAATCCTAGCTACTCAGGAGGCAAAGATCAGGAGGATCATGGTTCAAAGCCAGCCTAGGCAAATAGTTCTTGAGACCCTATCGAAAAAACTCATCACAAAAAGGGGCTGGCAGAGTAGCTCAAGGTGTAAGACTTGAGTTTAAACCCCATACTGCAAAAGGGAAAAAAAAATCATTCTGGAAATCAAAAAGTCAGTTCTTCAAATAAACACATCTGAAAGCCTCATGGGATCTCAGGGTTTGAAGATAAAGGAGATGAGCTAGACCATTCATATAAAGATCAAGAAAAATAATAAAGTATGAATAAAACATGTAAGACCTCTGGGACGATATTAAAGACCAACTCTAAGATGGGCACCAGTGGCTCATCCTGTAATCCTAGCTATTTGGGAGGCTGAGATTATGAGGATCGAGGTTAGAGGCCAGCCCTGGAAAATAATTTTTGAGACCCTCATCTCCAAAATAACCAGCAAAATGGAGTGGAGGTATGGCTTAAGTGGAAGAGCACCTGCTTTGCAATTGTGAACCCCTGAGTTCAAACCCCTTTTCCACCAAAACAAAACAAAACATCAAAAACGAACCTATAAATCATGGGCAGGCATGGAAGAAGGGAAGAGGTGCAATTTAAAAGCACAACAGAAAATGTTAAATTCCCCAAATATCGAGACAGAGACTAATCCAGGCACAGGAGACTTAGAACAGCAAACAGGACCAGTAAAGAACATATCCATGTCATTTTATAGTCAAAACGTACAAAGAGAGAATATTGAAAGCTGCAAAGAGAAGCACTAAGTCATTTGTAATGGCAGACCCATCAGAAAACTAGCAGACTTCTCAACAAGTTAAAAGCAAGGAGGGCATGGAATGGTGCATTACAAGGTCTGGAAGTATATGCCGACCTAGATTTTTGCATCCAGCAAAGCTATCCATCATAAGTGAAGGAGAAACAAAAAACTTCCATGATAAACAAAAACTAAACAGAATCATGACCACTAGGCCAGCACTGCAGAAGATACTTAAAGAATCCTATATACAGAAAAGGACAGCACAACTGTGAAAATACAAGAAAAGAATAATCACACTAGATGAGTAAACAAGTGAGGATTAAAGAATGAAATCTACAGAACAACAAAATGGCAGGAATTACTACATACCTTTCAAAACTAACTCAAAGCTAATGGTCACAATTCTTTAATCAAAAAGTGCAGGTGGTTGGGCTCGCGCATGACTTAAGTAACAGAGCACCTGTCCAGTGAGTGCTAGGCCCTGAGTTCAAACCCCAGCACTGTAAAAAACAACAAAAAACAACAAAAAAACAAAAACCCAAGCACAGGTTGGGCTAAAAATATAAGAACTAACCATTTGTTGCCTTCAAAACAATGCACATCACTGGCAAGGATTAAACAGGCTTACAATGAAAGGATGGGATAAGGTTTTCTGAGCAGATGGAGCCTGAAAGTGAGTGGAAGTGGCTATACTCATCTGACAAGTCAGACTTCAAACCCAAATTAGAAGAAACAAGTTCACTTCATACTGATAAAGAAGAGCAATCCAAAGGTTATAGGAATTTGTAAACATGTACGGCAAGCATTGGCACATGAAGTTCATAAAACAAATACTACTGGATGTAAAAATGTAGATTTACCCTAACACAATAATTGTGAGTGACTTCAATACCCTACTGTTACCCATAGGTAGGTTACTTAGACAAAAAATCAACAAAGAAAACATTACAAATCAAATGGTCTTAACAGACATCTACAGAATATTCCACTCATGGAACTCTTCCAAAATGGACCATATTTTCAGACAAAAATCAAGTTTTAACAAATACAAGAAAATTGAAATAACTGCTTTATTAGAACACAATGAAATAAAACTAGAAATTAACAGGAAAATGAGCTACAGGAAGTATACAAACAGTTCTTTGTTGATCGATGAACTATCAAAGAAATAAGGAAATAAAATTCGTAGAGTCAAATGAAAATAACATCTGAACCACTGGGGCACTGCAAAGACAGAGCTAAGAAGACAGCTTGTACCTATGAATGCCTACATTAAAATATCAGAGAGTTCTCAAACAAATAACCTAATGATACACTTGAAGCTCTTAAAAAAACGACAAACAAAACAAAACAAAACCCAAACAAAAAATAGCCTCAGTGCTGCCTGAGTGGTGCAAGTGGTAGAATGCTTGTATAGCAAGGTGAGACCCTGAGTTCAAACCCCAGTACTGCCAAAACAAATCAAACAAACAAAAATTAGTCTCAGAGCCCTGTGAGGAAATGGCAATCACCAGAGGAAAAGAGAGTCAGAAAAAAAGAGTTAAAGAAATAATGGACAAAACTGGTTAAATTTGATAACTGTTGATCTAAGAATCTCAATGAACCAAGAACTTTATGCAGAAAAGTTCTCCTTCAGAAGTCAAGTTGAAATAAAGACATCCCTAGATAAAGACTGAGAAAATTAATTGCTAGCAGACTAGGTTGACAAATGATAAAGGTATTTCTTCAGGCTGAAAGAAAATGACACTACATGGAAACTCAAGTCAGCAGGAAGAAATGAAGAGCATCAGAAATGGTAAGTAGAAATGCTGTATGAACACACACTTTATGAATTCCTCTAAAAGATTTAAGATTGCTTAAGTGCCAGTCATGGTGGCACAAATCTGTAGCCCTAGCTATGCAGGAGGATCACGAGCTCAGGAGTTATGGGCCTCCTGGACAACAAAGGGAGATACCATCTCAAAAACAAACAACAAAAAAAGCTGGACCATATATCTATAAAAGTTAACATAAGCTGGAAATGCTGGCACATGTTGTAATTCAAGCACTCTGGATCCAGAGCAAGATGATAGTGAGTTTGAGACTAGCCTGGGTTATACATGTAGACTCTCTCTGTCTCTCTTCCCTGCCTTCCTCACCCCCTTTCCATATATGTGTATATACACACATATACTATATATGCAACATATATGTACCCATATACAACTATATGTACAGCTGAAAAATTAATAAAGTTAAAATGGTACACTGAAAATATTAACACTGAAGTAAAGGAGGAATGCATACTTAGAAAAAACAATGAAATACACAAATCCATTAAATGTGAATGAACTAACCAAAAGACTAAGATCAAACTGGATATGAAAGCAAGATCCAATTATAGGATGTCTACAATAGACACATTTCAAATTCAAAACTGTAACAGTAACAGTAAAAGAAGGGAAAAGAAAGACCCAATAAATAGTAACCATAAGAGCTGGAATGAGACAGGCACCAGTGGCTCACACCTGTAATCCCAGGTATTCAGGAGGCAGAGATCAGCGGGATCGTGGTTCAAAGCCAGCTCAGCAAATAGTTCACGAGACCCTATCTCGAAAAAACCCTTCACAAAAAAGGGCTGCTGGAGTGACTGAAGGTGTAGGACCTGAGTTCAAACCCCAGTACCACAAAAAAAAAAAAAAAAAAAAAAACTCCACTGAAAACTCAGTAAAATTTGAGGCAAACTTAAGGGCTGTGTAGTTGAAATTTTAAAAAAGCTTTTTATTTTTGTTGTTTTGGAGGTACTGGAGTTTGAACAAAGGACTTCACACTTGCTAGGCAGGTGTTCTACTATTTGAGCCACACCTGTAGCCCAGTAAAACCATTTTATAATTTAAAAAATAACCAGCTTCATCTGACATTTACTTGAGCAGATCCACTCATCTTTCTGAGTGCTTGTAGAACATCATAAAGATGTGAAGCCGTATGTTAGCCATAAGGTTGAAATCATCTAAAGTATGTTTTCCTGGCTAAATTGAAACAAATGTGGAAATAAACTTGGCACACATCATCAAATTTTTAGAAGTTACATAACCCCCTTCTAAGTAATGTATGAATCAAAGAAGAAAGTGCAGCCAGGCTGCTCACGCCTGATATCTACTCAGGAGGCAGTGATCAGGAAGATCACAGTTTGAAGCCAGCCCAGGCAAATAGTTTTGTGAGCTCTATCTCAAAAAAATCCATCACAACAAAAGGGCTGGTGGAGGGACTCAAGGTGTAGGCCCTGAGTTCAAACCCCATACTGAAAAAAAGAAAAAACAAAGCCAAGTTAATTGGTATTTGAAAATGTGTTCACTTTGTCTACCTATTGTACTAAATACAGATTTCCAGTGTACAAGAGACCTCATTGAGATTTTGCTGTTTTATTTTTTGAGGTACAAGAGATGGAACCCTGGACCTTTGTGCCACTAAGCCACCTCCAGTTGATTTTAGTCTTTGTTGCGAAGCAAACTGTAGGGGTTGATTCAACATTCACTGTCAGCTCACCCTTTGTGATGGTTGATCTTTTTGTGTTTGTGTGTGTGTGTGTGTGGTACTGGTGTTTGAACTCAGAGCCTACACCTTGAGCCACTCCACCAGCCTTTTTTTGTGATGGGTATTTCAAGATAGGGTCTCTTGA